CTCAGGCTGGTTTTGAACTCCTGACCTTGAGCAATCCACCCGCCTCGGCCTCCCAGAGTGCTAGGATTACAGGCGTGAGCCACCGCGCCCGGCCCATAATGTGACATTTAATTGCTGCATTACGTTGGATATTGAACCGTAATTAATTTACCCAGTCTCTTATTTGGGGTCATTTAGTTTTTGATATTTTCTATTATATTAGTGGTACTGTGATGAACATTCTGTATCTAAATCGTTATGCACATTCATGAATGTTTTAGAAGAAATTACATTTCTGAGTCAAAAGTAGCAATTTTACTCCAGAAATGTTCCAACTATACTCCTTCCTTTGATATGTGAAAATCTCCATTTACCAGGTTCGTGCCACAGTTTAAGGTTAGTTTTTTTGGCTATTTGATATGCAAAATAATAATGATAAATATTATTTTATTCTTCATTTTGCATTTATCTGAATACTAATGAAGTTGAACTCTTTTTCTGTTCTTTGGCATTTGAATTTCTTTTTTATGAGTATCCTACCTCTTGCTCTTGGTGACCTGGGGAAAAATTTCCCCAGGTGGAAATCAGGAAGTCATCTTTGCTGACACTGGTTTTGCCATTTGACAGATGTATCATTCCTGGCATCTGAGTGCCTCAGTCCTCGTACATACAGTGGCGGCTGCAATGCCTGCCTTCTGGGTACATTGAGATCTGGGAATGTTACTTATAATTTACATAGAAATATAAGCACTACATAGCATGGGTCTTTTCGTTAAGTGACCTGGGGCAGGTTCTGTAACCTCTCTGTGCCTCGGTTTTCTCATCTGTAAAGTGCAGATCATAATAGAACCACTGTCATGGGGCTGATCTGAGGCTTAAACGAGTTAGGACAGAAAGAGTACTAAAAACAGTGCCTGGTACATATGGAAGACTCAATAAATATTACCAGTTTTTATCTATGTTGGATCTTTGAGACTTTTCATTAGGACAACCAACAGAACTCGCTGAGAATGAGTTGATGGTAGAAGCTTGGCATGTCAGAGCTGCAAGACCCTTCTAGAAATCACTCCCCTCACTGATACCCAGCAGATTAGGTTCTAGAGCAGGAAAGGAATTCACCCAAGGTTACTCAGCAAATGAGTGGCTGAGGTAGGACTAGATTGCAGATGTCCCACAAAGATTGCACCCCTGACCTGTTGTAGGCCCTAAATGTCTGCCACTTGAGTGACTTCTCCTGGTGTGCAGAAGTCTCCCATGGACTGAAACATGTTTACCTGGTGGAGAAGCAGGGTTATCCTGCATCCCCCCATCTGGTCCTGTCGATAGCAGGAAATGTCACCTCCCAGGGTGGATCAGCATTTCTACAGCCTCCTGTCCTTGAGCCAGGGCATTCGAAAGGCCCTAGGAAGGGAAGACGTGCCACGGCCATCTCACTCTGGTTGCCCTTGAGAGGCCTTAGAAGTTCCCAGGGTCCCACCTGGACCCCAGATGCCTCCTCCCGCTTCCAGCATCTCGAGTCTGGCAACGGCAAGTCCAATTACAGGCTGAAACCTCCCAGATCAAGGCCTAGCCCAGCACCAGGAGACACCTTGCTTAGGTCTGGTTGAACCTCAGGCGTTCCTCTTTCTCCCCTCTCCAGGTGCCCCCAAGACCCAGTGGGAGGGCAGGTGGTCTCCGAGCTCATTACCAACAGAAAGGAGAACATTCCTCTCACGTTTTCCGAAGACTGTCTTTACCTGAATATTTACACTCCTGCTGACTTGAGGGAGAACAGCAGGCTGCCGGTAAGCCGTGGGAACCCCTGGCCCAGACGTGCTGGTTCTACCACCATGGGGTCTTCGGGGTCTTCTGATGCACATGGGAAGGGGTGAAGCACAGGCCAGGACTGCCCAGGGTCTGCAGAGCCCGCACAGGAAACACAAGTTTCCACGTGTCAGTTTACTCTAGTGACATGGAACCACTGGAAGGGTTTGCTGTACATCTGTAACTCACATCTTCATTGTCCCAAGTTCTTGCATGTTAACTGAAAGACAAGTGATTACTCTTAGTTGGTGGTTTAAGAATCTGATACCCAGAGCAGTTGAGACATAATTTCCAATAGTGTTAGAGCTGGAAGGGGTCTTAAAGAAAAGCCAATAACCCAACTCTTGCATTATAGATAGAGAAACTGAGGCCCAGATGTAGGAAGGGGAAGTCACACAGTAGGCTAGAGTTGGCTCAGGTCTTTTGATCTTCAAACCAGTGTTCTTTGACATGGAGTAGGACATCAAGCATGTGTGTGGGTGGCCCAGCACACCAAGATACATCTTTGAAAACCTTCAATGTCCCATGACAAATGCATGAGGGCAGAACCTGGGACAATCCCAGAGCCACTTTCTTTTATCTTTGGCCAATTCTCTGGGATTATATTGTAGCTAATTTCCCTCCCTAATAGTCTTTGGCACAGGCTGGTGACTCAGTGAGTCAGCATTTCCCAAATAAGTGAAGGGCCAGAGATGGGCAGGCTGCCGGCTGCAGGCTGGGTCATGGGGGAGGGGAAGTTCTGCTGGAAAAGGAGGTGATGGCAGGGGTGGACAGGGGAGAGTGTCAGCACCCAGCCAGTGTCCCAGGAGCACCCTGGCACGGTACTGAGAGTGGGGGAGGAGGTCTGTGAACTTGGGACTAGACGTTGGCCCACATGTGCTTTGTAAGGCACAAGGAAGTGGGGACACAGGCTCACTCCCTCCCTCCCTCCCTCATTCATTCATTCTTCTACTTTGTACTCAGTGTCCGCAATGCAAGGTTAGACTTGGGGTTCGGGAAGGAGGAACATGAAACCACTTCCAGCAGCCCCACCCTCAGGGATCCTGCGCTCGGGCTGCACAGACACACGCTGACTTCAGCATGTTACCGCAGCCCAGCCCGTGGGCTCAGCCATCACTCAAAGATGACGGTAACTTCAGCCCGTCCCCAGGAGGCAGGGATCAGACAAACAGGGACTCTGGGAGCTGCAGACAGAAGAACCTCTAGTACGGACACGGGTTCCAGAACTGCAGGGTCTGGGTTTGAATCCTGCTTCTGCTTTGACTAGCTGAGAGATGTCATCGATTTCTTAACTTCTCTGATCCTCTGTTTCCTGGAAATGGGAGGCAGCAGGTGTGAGTGCTCCGTGCTCCCTGCCCAGCTTTGTCTCCACCCCTGGCTAAACGTGAAAAGCAAGCGCTTGTGACACCTCAGAGGGGAAGGGGGGATCTTACCCCACCTGACAGCAGACCTGCTGTGCTGTGGCCACTGGCTGCAGTGTGCTGGGCAGCTCAGCACCTGGACATGGAAGGGGTCCCAGTCCTGCTTCTACCACTGGGCTGTGTGTCCTTGGGCAGGTTAGGTGCCTCAGTTTTCCAATCTGTCAAATGGGACAGTATTAGTACCTACCTCATAGATAGTTTATTTTAAAGTGCTTAGACAGTACTGAGAGCATAGTTTATATTATCAGTTCTTTTATTAACAGTGTTGTCATTAAGACAACATAATTATTTTAGCCTCTCCCCCTGCTTCCCTGTTATGTGAGCTCTTTAGATGTGAGAACCATGAACTATGAATTGTCCACTGTCATCCTATCACAGCCCCTGGCACATAGCAGGTTCCCAGATGTTAGTCAAGTGATTGAAGACTTCCTGGAGGGGGTGGATTCCAGGCTGGGCTTTGCAGGGTGGCTAGGATTGGGGGAGGCAGGAAGGAGGCATATTAGGAAGAGATACCATCGGGGCATGTGTGCATCTTAAGATAACCGCTCATGCTCAGAGAAGAACAATTCACCACAAAAGAGTTAACCGAGATGAAGCTGCAATGCAAGGGCTGCTCCATGTTTACGTAGAGGAGGATGAAAGGTCCAGCATGAGGGTGACAGGAGTGTCAGGGAGACCAGGGGATCCTTAGCCTTTGCTATTATCCCTATGGCCATGTGCTCAGAGAAAATACCCTGAGGGGGTGGGAGATGGCACTGGGCCTGGGGAGAAAGGCAGGGGCAGCCAGGCTGTGAGGAGTCTGGTGGCGGCCTGGGCTCTAGTTGGGAGGGTCATGGAGAAGAGACGTTTCCTTTGGAACCTTGCTGGGCACTGGTGGACTATGGGTAACGGCCTGCTTGAGTCATGGCCAAGAAGTAAGCGATCAAACCAGACAACCTCTTAGTCTTCCCAGCTCTGTTTCCTATAACCAGTGTGGGTGTCCCTCCCCGTCCAGGTGATGGTGTGGATCTACGGAGGTGGTCTGGTGCTGGGCGGGGCCTCAACCTATGATGGCCTGGCCCTCTCTGCCCGTGAGAACGTGGTGGTGGTGACCATTCAGTACCGTCTGGGCATCTGGGGATTCTTCAGGTAAGATATTTGACTGTCCTCACTTCAATGCTGTCCCCCATGCTAGCATGCTAGGACCCTGCTTTGATCAGGTCAGCCCTCAGGGGACCTTTGCTAAGTTCCTTAATGAGGCATTTAAGTTCCTTCCTAATTGGATCCCACCTAACTCTCATTCCTCAGTGACATAAATCTACTTGCTTCTGAACTTTTGTACATGCTGTGACCTCTGCCAGGAATGCCTACTCTACTTGACAAACTCCTATTCACCCTGCAAGGCCCAGCCCACCTGTTGCCCCCTGCGAAGTACTCATCTCCTTTTCACCTGTGCTACCCTAGCATCCTACACATTCTGCCACCAAGCCTTTCACAGCAGTGAAAGGTTCACACATTTCCCTTCTCTTGCAAAAGGAAGGGAGGGGCAGACTCGCAGAGGGTGCTCAGCAAATGCTTGTGGGGGAAGGCATGGGTGGCTGGAGACGGGAGGTCGTCAGGGCATCTGAGCCCAGGGAGCCACCCTCCCTGGAGGAGTGTCGGGGCGCATTCACCCCATATCTTGCTAGAAATCTGGCACATGCAGCAGTTAAGACTAGAGGCTTCTCTGTGGGCACAGGAAGCAGGTTTCCTTCCAGGCACGTGACCGTGAGCCTTTCCTCAGTGCACCTGACCCAGAACATCTGACCCCAGGTGTGACGGGCGGGTGTGGAGGACCCACTCACTCCTGGGAAGACCCAGGGAGCAGGAGGACGGCTCTGCCGGGCCTTCCAGTGGGCGTCCCGGGCCAGTCACCGAGGTTTCGCCTTCCTCGAGACTCCACATCCTTGTCACCCACAGCCTGCGTCCCTGCTGCCCGTTACAGGAAAACTGCTCCATGTCCTGTCTGTGTTCCCCTCCTCCCTGTCTGTCCTCTACTCACACCAGCCAGTTTCCCCTGACCACGCCGCCAGGCTGTTCCCGTCATGGGCACCCATGACCTCACCTATCCTCGGCCCAGCCTTCCCTGAGCTCTCAGTCGCAGCCACACAGGGCCACTGACGCCTCCGTGACAGGCTCCCTGCCCTTGGTGCCTCATCCCACCCCACAGGCTGCTGCTTCTCAGCCCCTTGGTGGGTCCCTCCACGCACCTGTCCTTGGGACTCTGTGTGTCTCCCTCCCCCTCCCTCTCCACTAGTTCCCAGTGATCCCTGTGGCACTGTCAGAGCCTTGTGGTTTGCCCTCCTGTCCTTTAATCCCAGACGCCATCACAAGCTGCCTCCTCTGTCCCCCGGGCTGCCTGAGGCCCCTCGCTCTTCTCATGGACACACTGAGCCACGACTCCCACGCCCTCCCCAGGCAGAGACACCCTGCTTGTCCCAGCGCCCCCGCTCAGCTGCCGAGGCTCCGTCCTCCCAGTTGCCCGGGACACAGGCCTCGAGGGCAGCCTGGACCCTTCTCTCTCCCCACACCCCACGCACAGGTGGCTGCCGATCCTCCCGCCTCCACCTATGAGATGTGCTCAGAGTCCCGCTGCTTCTCACCCTCCCTTGCTTCACCCTGGTCAGCCTACCTGGCTCTGGCCTGGATTGTCATCACGGCCACTCACTGTGTCGCTCTGCGACTTCTGTGCTGCAGCTGATCCACATTCCACATGTAGAGATAAGGCAGAGAGTGAGTCACGTCATTCCTCTGCACAGACCTGCACCGGCTCCCACGTCACCTGGGGTGACATGCAACACGCTTCCCCAGGCCACAGCGCCCTCCCCAGCTGCCCCTCCTATGTGCACACTGTGCTCGCTGGGCCCCAGGGCCTTTGCACTTGCTGTTTCTTCTCCTGGAATCATCTTCTTTGGATATTTGCAAGGCTCACGTGATCATTTAATTCAGGCTCCTCCTCAAATGTCACAGCATCCGAGAGGCCTTCCCTGCTCATGTGATCTGAAGTAGCACCCACTGCCCACCCCTGCCTTTCCCCTCACCCCATTTTATGTTTCCTCAGAGCACTTTCACTACCTGATATTTTATTCTGTGTTTATCTGTTTGTTTGTAGGGTGTACTGGGAGCTTACTATAGTCAGAGATTTTCCCTATTTTGTTCTCAGTTGTGCTCTAGCTCCTAGGACCGTGCGGGGTACTGCTGTGCCTACCAATGGGTCATCCTGGAACAGTCCCTGAGCTATCACCTTCCCTGAGACTCACATGTAGTAGATGCTCAGTAAATCATGTCGAGATGAGTGAATGTGGAGCCCTACAACGGCACATGCTGGCAATGGCAGGCAGGGGAAGACCCTGTGTCAGGGGTGTGGAAGCCCAGCCTATTCTGGAAGGATCACCGAGAGCCCCCCGCCCATCTCTAGTCCCGAGACCCCTGCCATGGCGTCTGTGCTGCCCACCCCAGCCTGTTCTCTCACAGCACAGGGGACGAACACAGCCGCGGGAACTGGGGTCACTTGGACCAGGTGGCCGCACTGCGCTGGGTCCAGGACAACATCGCCAACTTTGGAGGGAACCCAGGCTCTGTGACCATCTTTGGAGAGTCAGCGGGAGGCGAAAGTGTCTCTGTTCTTGTAAGTGTTCCTGGCACCAGGCCCCACCCCCATACTGATGTGGCAGCTGAAGGGACCACTTAGGGACCAGCCTGGCCAGTCACAGGCACCTTTGCTTCGGGGACCTGGATTGGGGACAAACCCTACTCATTTCCCAGCATCAGGTTGTGGAGAGCTAACATCCAAATTCTCCTTGGCTCCCAGGAAGCTCATCCCAGAAGCAGGGTATCTCTGCCTGGGGAGGTCGTGGGAGTCGTGGCTCAGTGTGTCCATGTGAAGAGCGAGGGGCCTCAGACAGCCCGTGGGACAGAGGAGGGAGGTGGTGAAGGGTGTCTGGGATTAAAGGAGAGGGGGCCAAACCACGGGGCTCTGACAGTGCGGAGGGGACCGCTGGGAACTAGTGGAGAGAGAAGGAGGGAAACACGAAGATGAGCTTTTGTCCTGAGGCCATAAGCATCTCTGGCCCCAGCCTGCACTGGTGGCCATCCTCCTCCTCTTACTTGATTGAGCTGTCTCTTCCTTTCCTGTTCATTTTAACACTAGGACTCAACTCACTTCTTTTGGGAGGTAGGGGTGGGTGTAAATTACAAACAAAACTGGAGGCAAGGACAAGAGTTGGGCAGAGGTCATTGTTTCAAAGGCAGGTTACGTGTCGAGGAGACATGAGCACTAAGATCAGGCAGGAGCCTCCACTGAGGTGGTCTGATGACCCCCCACACCCAAGAGGGAGGCAGCCATGTCTGTGTCTGATGGACCAGGAGGGCTGGGGGAGGACACTAGGATACTAGGAGGACAGTAGGAGGGATGGAGCACAGGACGGGGAGGGAGGGGACGGGATGTGGGGCACAGACACAGCCTGGGGGTGAGAGATGTCCTGCCAGTGTGGGGCTGGGGCTGGGGTGGCTGAGGGCAGCTGGGATGGGAAACCCGGTTGGAAGGTGCTGGGAGGTGTGAGGAGCCTCCAGGAGCCTCAGAGTTGAGCCGAGGGTCACCCCATTGCTATGTTTTTTAATCATGTGTCGGTTTCCTACTTGAGAACTCAGAGGAAAATGCTTTTATGTTTTTTCATGTAAAGAGAAAGGAAAAATGCAGATTATCCCAAAGAAGAAAAAAGCCATCCTCAATCCTACTGCCCAGGGTTGTCACTGTGGCTATTTTGATGTGTAGTTTTTTGTAGTCTTTTGTCATGACTCTATCCATCTATCTATCATATATCTCTTTTTCTATAAAAAAGTTTTCCTTAATATTATAGCATAACAAAAATGTTTCCCTAAACATTAAACCCTATGACATATTAAAATTGCATAGTATTCCATGGTAAGAATGAAGCATCTGGCCAGGTACAGTGGCTGTCCTGTCACTCTGGGAGGCAGAGGTGGGAGGATCACTTGAGGCCCAGCGTTCAAGAGGAGCTGAGTGAGGCCCCATCTCTACAAAAAGCAAAATAATTAGCGGGGTGTGGTGACGTGCACCTGTAGTCCCAGCTACTTGGAGGCTGGGGTGGGAGGATAATGAGTGCAGGCGTTGGAGGCTGTGGTGAGCGGTAATGGTGCCACTGTACTCCAGGCAGGGTGACAGAGCTTTCAAAAAAATAAAAATCACTGATTTACCCAATCTCATAGTATGGGATCCTCAGGTTATTTCCAATTCTATAACCAGCAAGGGCACCCTCAGAAGTCTTCATGTGCCTCCCTGGTCACTTTTCTTCTGCATAGTGGAAATTGCTGAACCAGACCATGTGCCCGGGCATTGCCATGCTGTCTTTCTGGTGCTTTTGACTGCTGTGATCTGTGTGGGCCACACTCTCCTGTTCCGTCCCGGCTCTGTGGCTCTGTGCTCCGGCTCCATCCCACTGAGGTTCTCTGGGGGAGGCAGGGCCCAGGGTGAGGCTGGGAAACAGGCCAGGCCAGGTGAAGAGCCCTCCTGCACTCTGAGCCCCAGGGCAGAGCTGTAGGTGGCAGACCCTCCCCTGCGTATGAACTGTCTGTCCTCTCCCCTCCCAGGTTTTATCTCCTCTGGCCAAGAACCTCTTCCACCAGGCCATTTCTGAGAGTGGTGTGGCCCTCACTTATGCTCTGCTCAAGAAGGACAACATCAAGCTCCTGGCAGAGGTAGGTCTCTCACGGAATGCTCCCACACCCTGGCTCTGTGCTCCTGACACACTCAGGGGTCATTCCTGCCCTGGGATCCAGCAGATATTCTCAAAGAGTCAACGAAGTGACAGTGGCTTAGTGGAAAGGGCGGGGAGACCCTACTCAACCTCCCAGTTGTACAGCCAAGCAAACTGGAGCAGGGCATGGAAGCCAAGTGCCAGGGTCTGCAAGGGATCTGGGCAGAGGTGGGAGTCAGGCTTGCAACTCTGGATTGTGACCATGTGCACTCCCCATGACCACACAGCAAGGCTTCCTGAAAAAGTGATCAGTAAGTCAGGATAAGAAAGATGGATAATAATTTGCTTACAGAGTAAAGAATATTCCAGGGAGAGGATACAGCATGTGCGAATATCCTGTGGCAGGAGAAGCATCTTGAAAGTGAGAGAAGGCTGGTGTGGCCAGAGCAGAGAGCAGGGAGAGCTTGGGGTACGCTGAAGGTGGGGACTTTGGCAGGGGCCTTGCTGCACAGGACCCTGGGGAGGATTTCCTGTTTATCTGGAGAGTGGTGGGAAGACAGGAAGAGGTGACCACAGGGTGGCGCTGCTGAGCAGGGCCCACTGGAGCCAGAGGGGTGCAGGGTCTGGGTGGGGCTGTGGGAGCTGGTTTGGGGCAGCTCAGACTTCAGGGGCTGATTAGCGGGTGGGGAGGAAATGGAAACGCCAAGGATTTTTTTAGAATTTTTTCAGAATCCATTGGTTATAACAGATGGCCACTGGGCAGGCTTGAGTCAAGAAGGGGAATTTATTTTCAAGGAAGCAGAGGCAGTAGGGGTGAGGCTGGGCTTTGGGAGCCAGAAATTGCAAAGTGAGGGGAATCCAGGTCTCTCTGACTCTTGCTCTCTCTCCCCCTCCCTCCCTTTTCTCCCCTTCTCCTTCCTCCTGTTGGTTTATTCACCAAGTGAGTTCTGAGCAGGAACTCCGCAGTAGACACTGTCCAGGCTCTGGGACCCTGCGCACTCCCCACGGCCCTGCCGCCATGGAGCCCGTCTTGGGTCCATCTGCGCCTTCCTCTCTGGCCGAGCTTTGCTGTCAGTTCCTGTGACCAGCCCACCTGGCCCTGGGCTTGGGGACTTCCCTGTGCTTCCAGAAAGTAGTCAGGTTTTCTTCTGTCTACACTTGCAGCTCTCTACCCCATCCCAGATCACTTAGGAGAGAGGGTCACAGCCCCAGCTTTGCTGAGATCCTCCCTTGGTGCATCAAACGCGGCCTGTCAGAAAAGCCCGGGTGCTGATGTGTGGGGCAGACCTCCCCCGGTGCCCAAGACCCTCCAGGAGGGTTTTCTTCCTGCTTTTTATTAAGATGAGAAGAGGTTCTAGGTTGGGGTCAGGGGTTCTCCATGCATTAACGGGTGCTCCTCAGCGACTTGCTAAGGACAGGGGAGGACACATCTGAGCCTTGGGCTAAGAATGACTTTTTTTATGTTTAAATAATTAAAAACAAGAATATTTCAAGACCTGTGACAATTATATGAAATTCACATTTCAGCGTCCATAATGAAAGTTTCACTGGAACAGAGAGAAACACATTTAATTTTCTTTAGTAGCAGAGTGGAGAAGGTGTAGCAGAGTCACATGGCCCACCAAGCCTCAAATGTGACTGTTTGTCCCTTTGATGACAATGTCTGCCCCCTGCCCTGCACAGTCACGTGTGGTTGTCGCTGAGGACTCCAGCACGTGACTGTGCAGGTGGAAACTCTTAGCTGTGCCGCACCGCCTCACTCGCTGAGAAGCTCCATCCACACCTCAGGACGGACACAAGATCTTTTCTTAGAGCTCCCATTTAAGTCACATTCGGTACTTTCTGAAGTTCCTTGGTGTGAATCACCTTATCTAGCCTCCTGCAGTTCCTCACGTGTTCAGTGTGTAGGAGACATGGTAGCCTCCTATGCTCTTCCCATGTATTAGCTCATCTTATAAGGTAGGTGTAATCATTATGCCCACCTAAGGGTGGAGAAACCAAGGCCAAATGGCTAGTACCTGCAAAAGTCAGACTTGGAAACCAGATGGTGGGTTTCGGGGTTTCATACCCTTAACTCCTCTCTTGAGACACTCACCTTTGAGATCATTATGCCCATTTTAGCAGAGCTAAGGTAACAGACAGAGGGAGTATGGGCTGATCACTCACGTCACAGTTCAGATTAGGCACAGAGGCAGCACTCTGTGGACCCCAGAACCCACACGTCTGGCCTAGAGTACTTTCTGCTCCCCCTGCTGCCTCACAAACTGGGCTGGGGACAGAACACCTCTTTCTACCTTGAGGGAGGGAAGGGACATTGCTCTTAATCTCTTGTTGCCTGTGGTCTTTGCAGCAAGTTGCTGTCTCTGCTGGGTGTAAAACCACCACCTCGGCTGTCATGGTTCACTGCCTGCGCCAGAAGACAGAGGAGGAGCTCTTGGAGGCCACACTGAAAATGGTACGTGGGTCCGTTCTAGGCCCCCAGCCTGTAGTCATGGCCCCAGGCCTCATCTTTTCAGTTGTCCTCTTACCCTGAAAAATTCCCTGGGACGGTTTTTTACCTCTCGGGAGCATCTGGAACTAAATAGGGAATTTCCTTTTTCTTTTCTTATTAAAGCATAACTCAAATATCAAAAGAAGTCCAAAAATACATGAATACAAATTGTGTGATAATCCTCCAGCTTTATGAAAACTTAATATTTTGCCATTCTTGTTTTAGATGTACTTTAAAGAAATTAAATATTACATATTCTCAGGGAGAACCAAAATCCTAAATTTTGGGATGAGGATATTAATCACAAAGATTTTCAAAATGATGTCACAATTTGTCTTTGTTGATGTAGAAACTATCTAAATTATAACCCAATGGTGGCCCAGTTTTATAGATTTTCTGAGACTGTGACTTAGTTGTGAATATAGGTAGCCATTCATCCACTTATTCATTTACCCATCCATCCATCCACACATCTTATTATTCATCTATCCGTCCACTAATATATCCATTTCTCATCAATGTCTTTTTATCAGTCTAAATAAACCCATTCATAACTTTCCATTTATCTATTTTCAATCTATCCATCTTGCAAACATTATGCATCCACCTCATATCTTCACTGAATCAACCATCCCTCCAAAATCAATGATCCATCCATCATCTGCCTGGTCATTGTCATCCATCTATGCATGTAGCCATCCAGTTCTCCTGTACTCCATGTATTGACCGACTCCATCCGTCCGCCCGTCCATCCGTCCGTCCATCCATCCATGCTCACTATATTGGGGGAGTGTTGGGGAGGTGATGCTTGCATATAGTTAGTGGGTTGAGTACGGTGAGAGTACAGAGAGGGAAAACATTCCTTATAGCCAGCAGGGATGCGTCACAGAGAAGGTGACATTTGAGGATTGATGGATGGCTGTGGCAGTCACCTGTCATCACGGAAGCTTGGCAGGACAAACGCCCGGAGAATATAGCATCTAGAGCCAACGGGAACTATTCTCTTGGTGGTGGGGGGTGTGAGTCGTGAGGTCAGGAGTAGCCTGAGGCCTGGACCCTGGGCACCTGGGGATACTCCTGGACCCCAGGGCACGACCCTAGCACTGGGCTCTGCCTGCGTGTCTGTGGGCTTGGGTCCAGGTTCATCAGACTAATATGGAGAACAAAAATGTTTGAACAATTAAAACACAACTGGTTCTAATGTCTGGGAATAGGCAAATATTTCAGCAATTCTTCATGTAGCATAAGAGGACCCAGCTTATAAGGAAATAGCTGGTGACTTTGTGAAAATTCAGACCTACAATCCCAAGACAGTCTTTTGAGTTTTTCTGAGATCTTATGGAAGTGTTTCCATGATGATCCACTGCCCCCAACTCGCACACACACACACAACTCACGCACACACACAACTCAAACACACACACGCTCGCTTGCTCGCTCTCTCTGTCTCACACTCACACTTACACACACATATACACACACACTCCTCACTGGTGGGGGTACAAACCCATAATGGAGGAACCCTTTCTGGTCACTTCCTGCATACAGGTCAGACCTGTTAGCTATAGTGTAACATTACAGTCACTGCAAGCTTGGTGAACACACACCAAAGAGAAGCATCACGGAGCTTGTAGGAGTCAGGACTTTCTAGTGCAAGATGAGAAAGCCCCTCTCAAATTGCCTTGAGCAGAAAAAGGAATGTGTTATAACAGAATCCTTGGGTTACTGAAAAGTCCAAGAGCAGATAGCTTCAGGCATGGCTGGATCCAGATGCTCATGGGATATTATTGAGAATCTACCTGTCTCTATCCCTCCATTTTGCACTCCTCTGTGTTGGCTTCACTCTCAGGCAGATTTCCCCCCTGGGAAGATTTAAGACAACAGCACTCTGGACTTATACCCTACCTGCTTAGAAACCCTCTTTCCCAATAGTTCTAGCAAAAGTTTTGGGGTACACTCTGTTGGACTAACATGGGTAAGTGCCCATCCCTGAAATGACATCTGTGTCCAGGGAGATAGAACACCCAAGGTTGAATAGAAATGCCTGAATCTATGGAGTGAGAGAGGATAAGTGGGAGGTCCTCCAAAGGAAAATTGGGGTGTTGTTGCCAGGGGAACAAGAAGGGGGAAAAGGGTGGCAGGCAGTGCAGTCACCAATGGCAGACTTTCTCTCCAGAGCTTCAGCCACCTTGGCCAGGGTCCCTGGGGCCTGTCCTTCCCTTGCTGGTGCCTGGCCCTCCCCCACAGACGCCCACAGCCTGTGCTCACACCCGTGACACTGGTGTCCTGCCCACTTCCTCTCCCACCTGCCAGGGTGGCACCAGGAGGGAGAACCTGACACCTCTGCTGCGCAGCCACAGAGATCAGCTTTCTCCTGGGAAGCTTCTCACCACATCCTCTGCCTTTGTCTTCACAGAAATTTTTTACTATTGATTTCCTTGGAGACCCCAGAAAGGTAAGGACCCTTGGTTTCTTGATTAAAGGTTTTGAGTCTTAACATCTTTAAGCTCTAGTTAACTCTGAATGAAAGAATTGTCCCTTGTGGAATCCCTATAACTCCTCACCTATATGGTGCTGAGGCCCAGATAGCGGCAGTGACTTCCCTGGGGTAACACAGCAGGGGACCAGAGGCAGGACTGGAACCTGTTCCCCAACTCACAGTCCAGTGCTCCCAGGAATCAAGTCAGAGTCCCTGGGCTCCCCCACCCCCCTTCTTATTCACTTTTCCTCTGCCCAAGATGGCTCTGAGGGAGGAGGCTGGACCAGAGCCTCCCACTGTGAGGGGTCAGAGGTCACAGGAGCCTCCCTGAGGGGTGCAGATCCCCTGGGAGGCCACAGGTTCATCTATACAAGGGGAGCCTGTAATCTCAGGCCTGAGGACCCCTCTCCTCCCAGCACACAAGACACCCCAGTAGTATCTTCCCCATCTTCTGTTGTCTCCCTAACAAGTTGCCGAGGTCTGGTGACATCACCTGTGTAGCATCTTACAGTCCTGACCTCTCTGATCCCCCCGGAGATCACAGCACTTTCCTCTTAACAGGTTTTGTGAGGACTGAATGAGAGTCACGCAGCCAATCAGCTCAGGCTTTGTAAGCACTGCCACGTGCCAGGCCCTGACTCGGGAGCTGGGGACACAGCAGTGAAACACACAAGGTTCCTGCCCCTTACAGTCGTCCAGTCCAGTGGGAGTAGTGTACAAAATACGTAGTGTGTTGGTGATGGGCGGCGTTCACCAGCGGTTGGAACGCACGTGGCAGGGTCAGGGAAGGGCTGATGGGAAGGTGGCATCTGACTAGGCTCGGAGGAGGGAAGGCAGTGAGGGAAACTGGAGGAGCCGTCCGGGCAGAGGGTTGGCTGCTGCGCTGGTCCTCGCTGAGGCAGGAGGCGGGTCTGCAGGACTGGAGAGGAAGGAGTCAGGGCACAGACGGGCTGGGGGCTCAAGAAGTCAGGGGAGGTTGGGGTGGGGTGGGGGTGGTCACTTGAAGGACTTGGATTTGGAGTGAGAGGGGAGGCTCTGGAGGGTTTGAACAGAGGAGAGACGTGATCTTGGGTTTTACAAAGGTCTCTGTCTGCTGCATTGTAAATAGTCTGTCGGGAAGGGCCTGGAAGGTGCAGGGAGACCAGCTGGGAAGCCGCTGTGCTGGAACCATCCAGGCCAGGGGTCCCGGCATCTGAGACGAGGCCTCAGGAGTGGGGTGGGGGTGGCTGGAATCTGGACAACATGAAGGACTGGCTGACAGGAGGTGCTGACGGACAGCATGTGAGGGGTGAGAAAGGTGGGAGTGAAGGATGCCCCGAGCTCCCTGCCCAAGCAAGGTCATACACGTGGCCCACACGGGTTGCCATGTGCTGCCATTCAGTGGATGGTATAATCGCTGTCACTGTCACTGCTGCTGATGCCAGTCTTCCCCCGTGGGTGCTGCCCCACTCAGGCCTTCATTGTCTCTCTCCTGGACTTTACTATCTTCCGCCCCCACTTTCCTTCCAGTGCCGAGTCCCACGGTGCTGCCAGACTTACCCTCCTAAACACACACTAGCGCGTGTCTCCCCTTCTTCTTAAAAGCCTGACCTTCCTGACCAGAGCTGCCCCCCACCCCCATGGAGTTAATCCTTCCAAACCGAGCTGAGAGCCTGCTGTGTGCTGGACGTCGTGCAAAAAGTGAGCTCCGCCACCTGACCCTCTCTCTGGTCCCTGCCCCGCGGCCATCCCTGCAAGCCCAGGACTCACTGCAGCTCCTGGTATTAGCCCTGCACAGGAACGCCTCTGTCCCTTTGCTCATGCCATTCCCACTGTTTGGAAATTCTCAGCCCATCCTCCCCTCTCATTCTCATTCCTCACCCAGAGCCCACCGCAGGTGGTAAGCACCCCTCCTGCGTGGCCTGCCCTGTTCCGTCCTTCCCTATGCGGTGCTCCCTTGCCAGCTTCCCACGCAGCCCTCTATGCTCCGCGTGGCCTCTCCCGGCAGCCCTAGTTGCACCCTGCCCCTGGTCTCTGCTGTCAGCCGTGTGGGATTAGGATTCGGGCCTCGTGCCGCTGGGTCTGGTTCACTTTGCAGAATTCCCCTTTGGGCAGCCGGACTGGCCTGTCCCTCACTGGCCCTGGCAGAGCAGGACACCACAGGGTCTCAGCACCTAGGAGTCGCCCGGTTCCGTGTGACGTCCAGGCACGGGGCTGTGCCCGTGGACTGGAGCTGGAAATCGCACCTAGGCCGGCGTCTGTGTGAGGGGTCTGTTGTGACACTGCGAATTGGTAAAAATCTAATACTCGTTGAGACTTTCCCAGGTCCCAGGCGCTGTGCTGAGTGTAATAGTTTGTGCGTGTTCAGCCGTTTACCTCACAACATCCCATCTCATAGACGAGAAAACGGAGGCACGAACAGGGGAAACTACTTTCCCAGGCGACTGGCTAGGTAGCAGCAGGCAGGTTCCAGTCCAGGTAGGAGTCTGGTTCCTCGAGCGCTGAGTGGTCGTGAGGCCGCGACCGCATTGAAACGTGACCGAGCGGAACCAGCTCCCCGGCAGTGGCACAGGAGTCGGGCGCCGCTTGATCTGTGACCGTATACAATCTTGCATCAAAGGTAGAAGCTAAAATTGAAACACTCATCAATGTAATGTGAGCCCACCCCTGATTATTATTATTGTTATTATTGTTATTATTATTATTATTATTATTCTGAGACAAAGTCTCACCGTTTCGAAGGCTGCCCTGCAGTGGCACGATCATAGCTCACTGCAGCCTCGAACTCCCGGGCTCCAGTGACCCTCCTGCCTCAGCCTTCTGAGCAGCTGGGACCACAGGTGGGCACCACCATGCCCAGTGAATTTTTTTAATTCTTTGTAGAGATAAGGCCCCACTATGTTGCCCAGGCCAGTCTCTAACTCTCGGCCTCAAGCAGTCTTCTGCCCTGCGCCTCCCAAACTGCGGGGGTTACAGGCGTGAGCCACACCCCTGCACCTGATCCTTTACCCACAGTGTTCATCCCTAACCGGGCGTCGAGTCCCAGTCTGGGCACACTGAGAGGTGAGAGCTCAACACCTCTTGAAAGCAAAGCGTTTAAATGTAGATAGGTGGATACCGTTGGTCCTCATTAATCATGATCCTGTATTTGTAAATTCACCTACGTGCTAAGATTTATTTTTAACCCCCAAGTGAATACCCGCAGCACTTCTGTGTCATTCACGGAGGCGTGCAGAGTGGCAGGAAGTTTGGCTCGGGTGACGTGCGTGTTCCCGTGTTCCCGTCTGAGATGAGAGGAGACAGCGCTGTCTGCCCTCTCCCTCTCTCGTGCTGACAGGGGTCCTTTCCGCTCGCTCAGCGCCTTAGTTTCTGCGTTTCGGTGCTTCGTGTTAGTGAGTCCACCGTCCCAGGCGGCCCCAAGATTGCGCCGCCCGCGGGGAGGCTGTGCGATGCTGCGGGAGCCTGGCTGTGCTGGGGGAGCCTTACGCGGGAGCCCCGCCTTGCTGGGGGAGCGGTGCAGCGGGAGCGGGCCATGCTGGGGGAACGCGGCTGTGCCTGGGGAGCCATGCGCGGGAGCCTGGCTGTGCCTGGGGAGCGGTGCCGAAGGACGAGAGGGGCGACAGGGCGACAGCATGGGCGCATCCAGAAAAAGGAAGGGGAAGTTTTCGATCCATACATGAGGCCATTCTAGAAAGTGCTGAAGTAACACCTGTAGTGTGTGATGAAGCTATGGGAAGGATGGAAAAGCAGCTAAATTAACGCATTCATGAGGCGACAAAGGCGTTCGTAAAGAGCACAGTGGACAGCACGCATGAGGCTGAAAGCCAGAGAAACTCGCAGTCACATTACCCTGGGCCAGGCCACAGTGAAGCCTGTCCCAGCTGGTGTTTTAGCACAAATAAATACTAAGTATAATGAAGTCCTTGTAAGAAATATTGATTACATAAAATACCTTTAAATAGAAATCCACACGTAAAGTAAGTTTGACCAAGTGATGCGAGCAGAGGCTCTGAGGAACCCACGCCTCCACTTCCCTGCAAGTAACGACTCAGTATTCGCTAACTCAGCATCCGGACCAATGTCATAGAACATCGCTACCATGTAGCAAGAGTCACCTGCAGACAGAGACGCACACTTCAAATTGAAGTACATATGATGTAGGAACATAATACACGGATTTCGATTTGCGTTAAGATCAGCCCCCCAACTCCCATCACCTTCCCACTGCCGGCCCCTGGCTAAAGTTCTACCCTCTGGGGACACACAGACTTTGCCGCCTTTATCAGGACCCTGAGCTTCTGTGGCCACTGCCCGGGGCCACGCAGGTCCACGTGCTGCCCTGGCCCTCAGACAGGCAGAGGGGGACGGGGCTGTTGTCGGGAAGGGGGAGGCTCACACACTGCCCTGCTCTCTTCCCCAGGGTCACCCCTTCCTGCCCACCGTGGTGGATGGAGTCGTGCTGCCCAAATCCCCTGAGGAGATCCTGGCTGAGAAGAGTTTCAACACTGTCCCCTACATTGTTGGCATCAACAAGCAAGAGTTTGGCTGGATCCTTCCAACGGTGAGCACGTGCTGCCTCTTAGGCAGATTCTCCGCTCTCCCCATCCGCCCTCCCAGCTCTGGTCGCAGATGTCCTTCCCTTTGCAAGCCTACCATGAGTCCAGGGCAGCTGTCCCCTTCCTCAAGAGTTATCATTTCCATGGAAACCTCCACCATGTCCCAGCTGTGACTGGGGTGGGATGGCCCCAAGAATCCCTCTCCCTAACACTCTTTGATTATCTTCCAATGAAAGAATCCTGCAGTGTCCCTGCCGGGAGGGCTTGTGGAGGTAACAGTTATGCAGATGGGAAACGCAGGAGCCTGGAACAGGGAAGGAGTTTGGACGTTGAGGCGAGTCAGGCCTGGGCCAGTGGCTTCTCACCTTGGGCCTGGTGCGCAGTTTCCCATAAATCTCTGTACATGCGCTCAGTCATCTGTCTGGAGAGACTCAGAGCAAGTTGGTCCTCCTTGAGTTAAGATTGACTCTAAATGCACAGAAAGACTTTCCTTCCTATCCAAGACAGACAAAGCCAACCCCAGTTAGAGCAGTGGGGCAGGTTTGATTCAGTAACACCATTGCTATAGGGAACTGTCCAGTGTGGACGGGCCCCAAATCCCTGAAACAGAGGCTGGAGATCTCTGCCTCCTTATTATCTGGAAATAAAGAAATTAAAATAAAATTATTTTAAAAAGAATAAAACATTAAAAAAGAAAAATAGGCTGGAGATGTCCTAAAGCCCAAGCTGTGCTGAGGGAAATCACCATGGGATGCAGAGTTGGGTGGTCAGTCTGTGAGGCCAGACCACCTGAACGTGTGAGTCCACCCTTACCTGGAGGAGAGACAGGAGGCAGTGGTGTAGATGAAGTGAGTCCCTCCCTGAAGTGAGGCTGTAATCTCTGCACAGGACTGGGAGGGAGACTCAGGGTGACCTCCCTGAAGGTTTGCACTTAGTAGAGACACCTCTCAGGTCCTTGACGAAAGAGTTAGGGTGGTAGATTTGCATCCCGAAGGGCAGAAAAAGGCCTTATAATTGGAAGCTTTCTAAAGTAACTGCTAGGGAGGGGCTCAGGGCCTCTGCCTGTCACCAGGTTTTGGCTGCAGCAAAGAGTAAGTTCTTCTGGCAGGTCGAGCTTTTTCAGGTAGACATTGTAAGGGGGCTGGGGCCACTGTAGGGGCCATTGACCTTAAGCTGCTAGGAGACCTGCTAGGACTCGAGGGAGTCTCTGGGTGCAGAGATTTGGACAGACTTGTTATGTGCTGAGAGTTCTGCAGTTCTCCCTCCAAAAGGATATCAGAGGTTATGCCAAAGACCAAAGCTGTGATGGCAGAATTGGGGACTTCCTATGTCATCTGTGACAGGTGGGGTATTTGAGAGGTCTGAGTCACCTGCCCCAGAGCCCTTGAGTTCAACACTTGCCCGGCTACAGCTTCCCTCTCTGCCTTGCTGACCACTGTGGGGGTTCTAGCCTTATCCACACACACACCACACATACAACACACACACACACCCACCCCCACACACAAATACACACACACAAATATAGCACACACACACACACACAAACAGAACAAAAAACTGGCACAGCTTCTGCCAAACTTATTTTAACCCTCTTTGCAATCCTTGAGTTTCTGGATGGAAGTCCATTTGATTCATTGACTTTGCCCAATTCATTAAAGTCTCATGCTTTTCAAGGCCCAAGAAAATCAGAGGACCTTCAGACTGTGTTGGATTGGTTGATTGGTGAGGTTGGCTTTTGTTCATTCCCAGTGATTCACAAATACTTAATCATTTTTTTTTTTAACAGTTGATGGGCTATCCGCTTTCTGAAGGCAAATTGGACCAGAGGACGGCCACGTCACTCTTGTGGAAGTCCTACCCTGTTACTGTAAGAGTCTAGGAATTATGGGAATTGGATGAGACCCAAAGAGGGGTCAGGGACTTGTCCCAAATCACAGATAAATTAAATTATAGAATGGAGACTGGGCTTGAGGGTTGTGCCCCCATTTTTCTACCTTCCTCACTTGATCATCCTGCAGGTGGGTGGGGGGAGCTGCCCAGGGCGGGAGAGGTTCTCCATCAGTGCCAGCCTCGCCCACGGGCCAGAGGAGCTGCACTGCTCACCAGGGGCACATGGGCACTGTCTTGGTCTATTTCAGGGCATCCCTGAGGAGCTGACTTTGGTAGCTATCAAGGAATATTTAGGAGGAACAGATGACCCTGTCAAAAAGAAAGACCGGTTCCTGGACTTAATGGCAGATGTCATGTTTGGTGTCCCATCTGTGATCGTGGCCCGGCAACATAGAGGTGAGTCCCAGAGGCTAGACAGGAGAGGAACACTGACTCCACCAGCTCCAGTGTCTGACCTGCCCACCTCCCAGCGTAGACAGATGTGGACACTGCCAGGGGTCAGCTCACAGGCAGGTTCCATATAGCATGGGATGCTGTGCTGTCCTATTTTTGTTTCTGCCTGTAGTAGACGCTGAGCAAATGATCAGGTGCACTCAGTTTATTTGTCAGGTAATGGTAGAAAACACCAGCAGAGAGGTGGGGAAGACAATCATGATGCATTGCCAAGCACGTGTCCGCTGTGCAGAGCTGGAGCTGGGAGCTCTGGGAAACAAGCAGAGGACACGGCTCAGGGTTGTCCCTCCTGAGCAGGGGGAGCTGGGGTATTCATCCACTGGCTCTCAGTTGTCATTGGTTCAAGGCTGTTCCAAGGAGTTGTTAATTCCCTGGTACTGTGACCTGCTGCACACATGGGCAGAGTCGTCTCTGGTGACCCAACAAAGGCCTCAGGCAAAGAGCTGGATGCTGGTGGTGGACGTCAGGCTGGCAGGCCCAGAACTAGGACATGTAGGTGCTGTGGGTGAGGCACCAACAGCGTCTGCTACCAGGGCTTCCTACCTGGGGTCATGGTGGCATGTGGGGCTAGAGGACAGATACTGGAAGACAGGTCATGGAAGGTTTCCAAGGTCAGAGCTGGCTGCAAACTAGTTTCCTAACTGGTGGTGCTGGGAGCAGAGCAGAGACAAGTACAGGATGAAGAGGGTTGTCCAAGGCTGACCAAGAGGCCAAATAGAGGGAGCAGTAGTAGATTTGGGTGGTCTGGAGAATGACAATGTCTGGGACTGGCTTTGTCTGTCTCAGTGTGTGCCAGGATGGACAAGCAGAGGGCCAGGGTGGCGTCTACCATGGGACTTTCTGACGCTGACCTGAGGCTGTGTGGGTGGGTGTGAGCTTAGGTGAGCATGAGCTCACCTAGAGGGGAGGTGTCCTCCCTTGGGTGCCATCGGGGGAGGCTCACAGCACCTTTCTTTTTCTACCAGTTCTCATTTGCATAGTCTGCATGCCAGGAAAGGGTCCTCTGGTCCAGACCTCTCTCTTTTACCACGCTTGAGCGGTTTTATTAATAAAATTCAGGACATTACAAGCATAATGAAAGCAGTTTCAGCCAACCTAGTATGTGTCCAGGGGACGCCTCTGTACAGGAAGGTGCAGGTGTTGATTACTGTTTCTTCCTCCCAGAGGCCTTGATGAATGAAACCCTTTAGCCAGAAGCTGCCTGGGTTCAACCTGTTCTTTAGTAAACTTTATTTTGCCTCCTGCTTTGTTTCTGATCTATGAAGCTCCCCTCTGCGCCTGCTGGTTCTGGTTGTACTGAACTTGTGCTTTTTATGTAAGTTTTCATTACTTTGGGTCCAGTCTTTCTGCTAGACTATACAGATTTTATCAATTTTCAGGTTTTTTTTATTTGTCTCTTTTTGGTGAAAATAACTTTTCTGGATATGAAGTTAATGTTATAGAAAGTTTCAAGAATATAAACATGTAAAGAAGAAACTAGATACCACTCAGAATTCCTCCACCTAGAGCTATCTGCTATAAAGTTTTTATGTATTCTCTTCCAGTAATTTTTACATGTCATATATTATTTTAAAATCAATTTTAAATTGTGTTTTTGTTAATAGAAACCTATATTGTGATGATTTTTTTAACATCAATAAAAATTCATCAAAAACATTCATTTCCATTGAATGGATATTACCATTTATTTTTATTTATTTTTTTTTTTTTGAGACAGTCTCACTCTCTTACCCAGGCTAGCTTGCTGTAGAGTCAGTGTATGTCACAGCAACCTCAAACTCCTGGGCTTAAGTGATCCTCCTACCTCAGCCTCCCGAGTAACTGGGACTACAGGCATACACCAACCATGCTCAGCTAATTTTTTCTATTTTTAGTTGTTTGGCTAATTTCTTTCTATTTATAGTAAAGACGGGGTCTGGCTCTTGCTCAGGCTGGTGTTGAACTCTTGAGCTCAAGCAATCCCCCTGCCTCGGCCTCCCAGAGTGCTAGGATTACAGGCATGAGCCACTGCACCCGGCCGAATTTACTTTAATATTTCTATTGGATATTTCAGTCAGCTGCTCATATTATGAGGCTACAAATAACATTATGTTTAGCCTTATGTGCACAAATCTCTAGCTACATGTTTAATCATTTTCTTAGGATATTTTATAAAAGTAATATTACTAGATTTGACAATAGGAACATGATAAAGCTCTTCATACATATTGCAAATTTTCTTTCCAGTGTGTAAGGGTATAGATTTATTTTTTTGTCCCTGGAATATTTTTCATTTTATTTTAATAAATTTAAGGGCTATAAGTTGAATTCAGTTACATGTATATATAATATTTTATAGTGGTAGAGTCTGGGCTTTTGATATACCCAAGTAGTGCACATGGTACCCCACAGATAATTTTTCATCCTTTGTCCCTTCCCACTCCCCCCCTTTCAAGTATCTGGTGTCCTTCACACCACTGTGTGTCCTTGTGTAGCCATAGTTTAGCTCCCACTTACAGGTGACATGTGGCATTTATTTTCCTGTTCCTGAATTACTTGGGATAAACGGCCTCTAGTTCTATCCAAGTTGCTGCAAAAGACATTATTTTATTGTTTATTTTTCCCGAGTAGTACTCCATGGTGTATATATACTACATTTTTTTAATCTGCACATCAGTTTATAGGCATTTATGTTAATTCCATATCTTTTTTTTTTTTTTGGAGACAGAGTCTCGCTTGTTGCCCAGGCTAGAGTGAGTGCCGTGGCATCAGCCTAGCTCACAGCAACCTCAAACTCCTGGGCTCAAGCAGTCCTTCTGCTTCAGCCTCCCGAGTAGCTGGGACTACAGGCATGCGCCACCATGCCCAGCTAATTTTTTCTATATATTTTTAGTTGGCCAATTAATTTCTTTCTATTTTTTAGTAGAGACGGTGTCTCGCTCTTGCTCAGGCTGGTTTCAAACTCCTGACCTTGATCGATCTGCCCGCCCCAGCCTCCTAGAGTACTAGAATTATAGGCGTGAGCCTCCTCGCCCAGCCTGTAGCTTTTGTATTTACTCTATTGACTGTTTTTTTTGCTGTGCTGAGTTTTTTTAGTTTAATTGAGTCCTATATTTTTATTTTCTTCTTGTTGCATTTGCTTTTGGGATCTTAGTCATGAATTCTTTTCCTTGGCCAATGTCCAGAAGAGATTTTCCTAGGTTTTCTTCTAGGATTTTTATTAATTTTTGAATATCATGAGGGGTAAGGCTCTCGTTTCATTATTATACATAAGGCTATCCAATTTGCCCAGCACCATTTATTGTAAAGGGTGTCATTTTTCCAGTGAATATTCTTTTTTTTTTTTCTGAGACAGAGTCTCACTCTGTTGCCCCGGCTAGAGTGCCGTGGCATCAGCCTAGCTCACAGCAACCTCAAATTCCTGGGCTCAAGCAATCCTACTGTCTCAGCCTCCCAAGTAGCTGGGACTACAGGCATGTGCCCCCAAGCCTGGCTAAGTTTTTCTAGATATATTTTTAGTTGGCCAATTAATTTCTTTCTATTTTTAGTAGAGATGGGGTCTCGCTCTTGCTCAGGCTGGTTTCGAACTCCTGACCTTGAGCGATCTGCCTGTTTCTGCCTCCCAGAGTGCTAGGATTACAGGCATAAGCCACCGCGCCCGGCCTCCAGTGAATATTCTTGACAACTTTGTCAAAGATCAGTTAGCCTGTAAGTATGTGGCTTTATTTCTGGGTTTTCTGTTCTTTTCCAGTGATCTCTGTGTCTATTTTTATACGAGTACCATACTGTTTTGATTACTATAACCATATCGTATTATTTGAAGACAGGCAATGTGATGCCGCTATTTTTGTTCTTTTCACTTAGGATTGCTATCACTATTCAGGCTCTTTTTTGGTTCCATATAAATGTTAGATTTGTTTTTTCTAATTCTGTGAAAATGAGGTTAATATTACCATTTTGCTAGAAATTACACTGCATCTGTAGATTGCTTTGGGCTGTATGGCCATTATAACAATATTGATTCTTCCAGTCCATGAGTGTGGGATGCTTTTCTATTTGTCCGTGTCATCTACAGTTTCTTTCATTGGTGTTTTGTAGTTCCCCTTGTAGAGATCTTTCAACTCTTTGGTTAAGTTTATTCCTAAATATTTTACTTCATTTGCAGTTATTATAAATGGAATTTTGTTCTTAATTTGTTTCTCGGCTTGTTCATTATAGGTGCATTAAAATGTTATTGAGTTTTGTACATTGATTTTGTAACCTGAAACTTTTCTTAATTCATGTATCAAATCTAGGAGTCCTTTGGAGAAATCCTTAGGGTTTTCTAAGTATAAGATCACATAATCAGCAGAGATCATTTGACTTCCTCTTTTCCAATTTGGATGCCCTTTATTTCTTTCTCTTGCCTGATACTCTGCCTAAGACTTCCAGTATTATGTTGACTAAAACTGGTGAAAGTGGTCATTCTTGAATTTTTCTAGTTCTCAAGGGACATGCCTTCAACTTTTTCCCATTCAGTATGATGTTTGCTGTGGGTTTGTCATATATGGCTTTTATTAAGGTATGTTTCCTGTATGCTGAGTGTTTTTTTCATGAAGGAATGCTGAGTTTATCAAATGCTTTTTCTGTATCTATTGACATGATCATGTAGTTTATGTTTTTAATTCTGTTTATATGGTGAATTACATTTATTGACTTGTGTATGTTGAATTATCCTTGCATCCTAAGTATAAAACCCATTTGATCATGGTAAATTATCCTTTTCATGTGTTCTTGGATTCAGCTGGCTTGTATTTTGTTGAAGATTTTTACATCTGTGTTCATCAAAGTTATTGGTCTGCAGTTTCCAAACATCCCTTCCTGGATTTGGTATTTATATGACACTAGCTTACCAGAATAAGATAGGGAATATTCCCTTCTTATCCATCTTTTGGAACAGTTTCAGTAGGATTGGCAACAGTTCTTTGTACATGTGGCAGAATTCAGCTATGAATCCCTCTGGTTTTGAGCTTATTTTGAAGGAGAGTTTTTGTTTGTTTGTTTTCATTACTCATTCAACTTGCTACTCATGATTGGTCTGTTCAGGAGTTCTGTTTCTTCCTGGTTCAATCCCATGAGGTTGTATGTTTTCAGGATTTCATCTGTTTCCTCTAGGTTTTCCAGTTTATGAGCCTTTAGTTGTTCATAATAGTCTGTGATGATCATTTGTATTTCTGTAGTATCAGTTGTAATGTCTCCTTTTTCATTTGTGATGTTTATTTGGCTCCTCTCTATTTTTTCTTAGTTAGTTTAGTGTTTTATTAATTTTGTTTATCATTTCAAAGAACCAACTTTTTGTTTCATTGATCCTTTGTATTATTTTTGGTCTCTTTTTCATTTAGTTCTGCTCTGATCTCTGTTATTTCTTTTCTGCTAACTTCCATCCATAGCAGCCCAGAGCAGAGTGGTGGGAAGGTCCTAGGTGTACATAGGAGAGCATGGGCTTCCTTGTCCCTCCTCAGAGCACAGGGTTGTGGCAGTCTCAGCCCAATTTTGGACCAAGGGTGGGCAATACCTGGTTTCAAACTCCCACAATTGTGCCCTGAGCCTATCACCAAAGGGGGGGGGCTTCTCAGGTAGGCTGAGCTGGCAAGAAACTAAGTAGTGTCATTTGCACAAGATTGTCCCACAGCAGCCAGCTGCAGAATGGGAGCTCTGCCCCAGATGCACGCTGGAAGGCCTGGTTTCCCTGCCAGTCCCCAGCCAGGTGGGGGCTGCAGCTGCTTTGAGCCCATACCCAGCCCAAGGCTAGGGTGTGTCCCAGCATCACACTCTCAAAGTGGCACCTTGAACTGCGACTGGAAATGCAGGGGCCCCACCCAGGCAGGCAGTGTGGGCAGGAAAATAGAGAAAATGCTGTTTGCTCATGTCTCAGTCTCAACAGCAGCCCACGGGAGTGTGGTGGGGCCTTCCAAGGGGTGCCTGGGAGTTCCTGGGCTCCCGTGTCCTCCTCGGAGCGGTGCGGTGGTTAGAGGTGTGTTCACAGTTGGCCAGTATTGAACTCTCAGAACGGCTCCTGGCTCGTGCTGCTGTAGGCTCAGACGCCTGTGGGGGTCTGTGTGAGTTCCCTTTCTGGAGCGACTCCTCTGTGCAATCTCCAGGCAGCTCCTGTGCTGGGCCCAAGACCTGTGTGGGTCAGGGCTTCTCTTGTAGCCAAGATTGTAATGCTGTGTCTCTGCAAATGGAGCCCGGGAGGGTTCTCTCTTACTGTGTCCCCATATCCTGGAACTTCTCTCAGCTACTAGCCAATCCCGGGCTGGGCAAGTTGCCCTGAACCCTCTCCTAACCCACCTGTTGTGTTTCCCATCACTGTCCTGATGAATCCTAGCGTTGTCTCCTAGATGATCTGTTTGAAATGTGAGAATATGGTTACTGTTCTTGTTCCTCTCCATAGAGCAGGTACTTACTACCTGTGCCTAATCAGCTGAGACATTAAAATTAAAAGTTAAAATAATGAATGTGGCCAATTATATAAATTATCCCCACCAAAGAAAAAGGATCATCACACTACATTTTAATTTTCATATATTTGATTACCAGCTCTCTCTTTATTGTCTCTGTTTCTATTTTTCCTAATTGTGTTTGCCCAGATCTGTGCCCTACTTTCCTTCGAAAACTTGTGTTATAATTGTAGGAATTTTATAAATCTCAGTTGTTTTTGGCAAAAAGTTAAAAGTTTTAAAAAATATCTTTTGAGAAACATGCTTCCTAAAATAAGTTCTGTCATTCACAAAAAGTCTTTCCTCCATGGTTGGGCTCTGAGTTCAATTATAAAACATTTGGGTGAAAAAGTAAGGTCAAACCTTACTTTTAGCATGTTCTACTTGATCTTGAAGTAGCCATTTAACCAGTGCACTTCAGACCTCAGAAGGATGGCTTTTCCCAAACAATTCCTGTTAAACCAAGGGTGCAGTGATGGAGGCAGAGGGAGATGGTTAAATAAGTTATTCTTCATCCTCACAATGTGGTAACATACATCGTTAGGTCCTTTTGTGGATGAATATTTAAAGATGTAAGATATGATTTCATATGTTACAAAATAACATATACAGTATCATCTGAATTTTATCTACATAAAAGGGAGATATGCTAAAATATTAAAAGAAGCTTTCTCTGAGTGGTGGGATTATGAGTGACAGTTTTGTTCATTTTCTTTTTTTGCCTTTTACAAATTTCTTACTATAACCAAGGGGGGAAAAGTTGTCAGGTTTCTCCACCAGCCTGACTTGGGGCCTGACTCCTTCCCTCTTAGGGACACTCCTCTGTGGACATTGTGACCAATGCAAAGTGCTGAGCTCCAGAGCTGGGTGGCCCATGAGTTATTCCTGGAGGAGCAGAGATTGGTGACTCCAGTGAGCCAGTCAGTAGGGAAACCGGAATCTCCTTGGGGCCTGGACAAGTGGATTTGGTGGGAAGAGAGGAGGGAGGAGGAGAGAGGACAGGAGAGAAGCAAGGTCACACACTTCCATGGCCTCTTCTCATCTCCACCACCTCAGCACCTTAACGCTCGCTGGGCCAAGCAGGAAGCAGGTGTGTGGAGGGACAGTGAAATACGAGATGCTGAGTGCTGTGGACCCTTGAGAAACAAGAGCCAGAGTCTTCTCTCTCTGCATAGTTTTGTTTTTCAATAACCTCACTTTCAGGCAAGCAACTAGGATTGCTTCACTCTTCTCAGAATGGGTGAGAAAAACACTGGAAATGGCCAAAATAAGGCTGAATAGAAGATATCTATCAACTTGTAGATATTCTCCAATTGAGTGAGCACTAGTCTGTTATCAATGAAATATAGTAGTGTGAACTGGATGTGCACAGATTTTCATGTGTGTGAATGCATCCGGTGGCAAAAGGAGCCAGTGTCCTTATAATGATAGTTCTTATAAATGGACTGACCCAGGGATTTAACATTCATTCATTCAATATTCCTTAATTAATTTCATTCACTCATTCAACAAATACCTGGCTCAAATCCCAATTCCACCTCAACCAGCTATGCAACCCTCAGCAAGTCACTGAGCTTTCTTAAAACTCAGTTTCTCTACCGTGCTGATCACCAGGGGTTTCTTGGAGGGCCTTGACACCATGCAGGGGTGCGTCTGGTAACATGAACTGTGCATGAATCCATGTCTTCTCAGATTCCGGAGCCCCCACCTACATGTATGAGTTTCGGTATCGCCCGAGCTTCTCATCAGACATGAAACCCGAGACAGTGAGAGGGGACCACGCGGATGAGATCTTCTCTGTCTTCGGAGCCCCATTTTTAAAAGGTAACGGCTCTTTACAGGCTGTGAGCCTGGAGTTAGGAGACGTGGGTTCCAGCCTTGGTTTGGAGGCCTTGAACAAGTTTCTCTTTCTCTCCTGGACCTAGTTTCCTGATTCACTCTAACAGGGTTGAATGACATTGTGCAGCCCCCACCCTTCCTCCTGCTCTAACCCGCATGAAGGAGGATGTGCACTCATGTGCCCTCAGCCAGGGTCACTCTCAGAACCCAGGCCTGTGCCATCAGTAAGGCAGGTGGTGGGTCACCTGGAGGGCCAGAATGTCACTACTCCATTTCTGTCTCACAAGAGCATATCAGAATGTGAATGAGGAAAAGGTTAGAATTGGTGTTAACCTTCAATTAGGTGCAATGTCTGCCATCTGTCATTGTGTCTGTCTCTCTACTTGATAAAAACTTATATCTTTAACTTAAAATATTTAATAACTTATTTTAAAGAAAAATTCTCACAAATGTCTTCAACACCTTAACTCTCAGCAGTAACAGATGACTGTGACCCACCTCATGGCTGTTCATGACACACCAGTGCCTCTGGGCATCTCCCAGTCTGGTGATTCCTTAGGACCTTTGTAGCTCTGTTATTTTTCAGACTATGAAAATGTGACTGTGCATAGGAAATTGAGAAAAGTCCCAAGAGCAGCAACCCTGGGAGGTGGGGTTGCTGGAGTGGAAAGACTGGGGTACGGCATTGAGACCCTGAGTGGGGAGGAGGCAGGTGGGGGGGTCACAGAAGACAAAGGCAGCCAGCCCATGGGTTGGCTGCAAGCCCATTGCTGAGTTCTAGATCAGTCATTCCCATCTTACAGTGCACGGGGATTAACCAGGATCTTCTTGAAATGCAGACTGTGACTCAGGGTGTGTGGAGTATTCACCAAGACTCTGTAACAAGCTCCCAAGTGACGCTAACACTGCTGAACCATGAATCAAGTTTGAGTAGCAAAAGTTTTTTTCTTATTCCCACAGAGGGTGCTTCAGACGAGGAGATCCAACTTAGCAAGACGGTGATGAAATTCTGGGCCAACTTTGCTCGGAATGGGTGAGGCTGGTGGCAAAGGTGGGGCAGGGTTGATGGGGGCAGGTGGCTCTATGGGGAAGGACAGCTTCTACAGTTTGAGTGATCAAACTCCCCACCCCGTGAGCACAGTGCTCTGACAATGAGAGTTCTCTGAAAATGGATGGGCTGCCCCAGGATGGTGAGCTCCCCTCTCTGGAGGTGCACGAGCCTCTTGGAAGACATGAGTCAGTAGATTCCTGCAAATCTCAGAGGATTGCTGGGACTATGTAGTGGCTTTAAGGAGACCCTATGTGATTCTGTTCCCAGGAACCCCAATGGGGAGGGGCTGCCCCATTGGCCAGAATACGACAAGAAGGAAGGGTACCTGCAGATTGATGTCCCCATCCAGGAAGCCCAGAAGCTGAAGGACAAGGAAGTGGATTTCTGGACCAAGCTCCTGGACACAGATGCAGCAGAGAAGGCACCACAGAAAGGACACACTGAGCTCTGAACGGGAGGCCCCGCCAGCCTCTGGAGCCTGGAGGAGCCAAGACAGGGCTATTCTAAAGAAGGTGATCATGGGTCAGAGAGCATTGCTTTGTGGGGGCGGGAGATTTGTCTGCTGGGAGTGGCCACAGGCCAGGGAGGGGCATTTGTTGCACTTGGGGCCTCAATTATGGGAATAAATGTTCTTTTGAAAGCCAAATCAGTGTTTGTGTCTCTGGCTAGAGATTCGTGCTTCCTCCTCAGAGAGAAAGGGTACAGAGAGAGGCACCAACATTAGGAAGGTGCCCCTGCTGCGGATGGCTTGGCCTCTAGACAAGCGGCACCCAGCAGGCTGGGCCCTGGGAGATGCTAAGGGGACTCTGGACATGCTCCATGTCTCTGAGCCCTCAACAGCTTCCAGTAGTAGGATTTGGGATGGCCAGAGTGCAGCATCCCTCCCTCAATTGGAGTTACCTGTGAAGATGGAGGTGGCACAGACTGAGCATGAACCTGGATCAGTAGAGGGAGAAGTGCCGTGGAGATCCTGTGGCAGTGTTGCGTGGCCTTCACTGACCCCCACACACGTCTGCAGTACCTTCCTCAGTATACACAGTGGCCTCTGTGAGGCTATCTCTTCCAACAACTGGCCTTAACCACTCTGTAACCATTTCAAGTCCAGGCAGTGAAGACCTTGGAATAAGACCCTTAAGTGTTATCCTAAAACTGTCTCTTTCAGAATCTCAGGGGTGATTTTTTAATCCGCTGGGTTATAAAGCATTCTAAGGGCTGTCAGTCCTACCCTGACAGCAAGAAAAAGCTAGATTCTTTTAAAAATGATTACTTTTCCTACAGAAAAGAGCTGAAATGGCAAGGTAAATGATTACGTGTAATGTAAGGGAACACAGTCTCTTTGGAGTATGTGTGTGATGTGAACACTGGCTTCAATTCTACCTGCAGGCTGAAGAAAAGGTTGCTAGAATCAGTAGAACCTCTCAAAATTTTAATCAAGTGTTAAAGGCCAAGTGCAGCCTAGTATGAGAGTATAAAATCCCTGGGAACCATAGACCTAAGGAGGAGTTTAAACCCACACTCACTCTTCATGGACCTCTCTCAGGTGCTCTGAGAAAGACACCAGAAAGCCCGCCTCCAGGGGTGCAGGCATGAGTCCCGCTCTGACCATACTCCTCAAAAGAGTAAAATCCTTCAACTATTGGGGAGAGACCAGCAAACCTTATCTCCCGCAAGGTACTTGTGGAGACCTACTGAGGCTTAGGATAAGGAAAATTGAGAAACCCCTGGGTGATGGATAGCAAAGCATCCTGGGTCCAGTTCATTTGTCTTACTGCTGGTGAGGGGAAGGATTACTGAGAAAGTTCCATCTCCAAGACTGAGGAACACAGGGCCTGCCTAAGATTGAGGCTAGACCAGGGGTCCTCAAACTTTTTAAACAGGGGCCAGTTCACTGTCCCTCAGACCGTTGGAGGGCCGTTGGAGAGTGCAGCACACATTCCACACATGCCCACCATGTGCCCGGGACCAGTCGGCTGCTAAGCAGGACAGGCAGCGGCGGCAAAAAGACCCGACAGGCTGGATAAATGTCCTCGTCGGGCTGCATGTGGCCCACAGACCATAGTTTGAGGACGCCTGGGCTAGACCAAGGTAAGAGAAACTACTCCTGGTTGTCACCAGAATTAGCAAGTACCAACAGGTGCACAGGGAAGGCCTGAACCTGAGGAGTAGAACAAGGCATTAACAAAGCCCTTCATAAACCCCACCCTTACATAAGCACACCAGAGGAAGCACAAGCACAAGGTAACATTAAAAGAATTTGAAGCCAATGGTGCGCTTAAAATAACAATAGCAACAATACAACCCAAGCCCTACTCATCTCCTGACTACAACAACTTAATTCCACAAACATACACATGCACACACAAACGCGCATGCTCATGTGCAGAATCAGTCTTGTAAAACAGCAGTTGCCAATCTTTTTGGCACTAGGGAGGAATTTCACTGAAGACAATTTTTCACAGATGGGGTGGTGGTGGTGGTGTGGTGTCATTTGTGGTGCTAAGGCGGTGAGGGGTGGCCCATTTCCTAACAGGCCATGCACTGGTACTGGGCCATGGATTGGGGCTTGGGAACACAGTCGTAGAAGATAAAGCATGCCCATTTCCAGTCATAAATGCTACTTACTTCAGTTTGTAGTCTCTTACACATGATGTCGAGCATTGAATTCAAAATTGCAAACACAAAAAAAATTAATTGAAAAAACCCATTTACAAGAGACAAAGCAATCTACAGAACCAGATTCTGAGATAACCTAGATTTTAGAACTAACAGACTAAAAATTTGAAATAACTGTATGGAAAACATACAAAGACAGATGGGAATTTCAATAGAGAGGTAGAAACTATAAGAGAGAAGCAAATGGAAATGTTAGAAACGGAGGAAAAAACAACTAAGAGAAATGAAGAATGCCTCTAATGAATTCAGCGGTAGACCTAACACAGTTGAGGAAGAAATGGGTGAACTTGAAGATAGGTCAGTATAAATTACTCAACTTAAAAAAGAAAAAGGAGTGGAGAAAAAAATCAAACAGCACATAACATCCAAGAATCATGGAATAGTATCTAATGGTCCAACATATGTATAACTGCAATACCAGAAAGAAGAGAAAAAGGACAGACAGAAAAAAAGATTTGAAAAGATAATGCCAAGAATTTTCCAAAAATAATGAAAGACATCAAAGCATGGATCTAAAAATCTCAGAGAACCCCATATAGGATTAAACAACAACATTAGCGTACATGTTTGACCACATAATGAGAAATTATGGAAGGCAGCCACAGAGAAAAGACATTACATACAGAAAAATGAATTACAGAAGGCTTCTTACTGGAAACTATGCAAGACAAAAAAAGAAAAAAAAAGAAAAACATGAAGGTGAATCAAGTGCTGAAAGAAAGAACTTGCAACTCAAAATTCTATATCCAGCAAACATATTATTCGAAAACAGAGAAAAAGAGACTTTTCAGACAAACAAGACAATTTATTATTAGCATTACAGGATGCAGGATGAACACATAGGACATAGACAGAAGACGCAGACAGACAAGAGTCGGCTGCAGTCCCAGAAAATAAAGTACACAGAGACAGGACACGGTTGGAGACTGCAGCACTGTAAGGTGCCAGTCGTTTTATTTTTATACTGTTTAATTGGGCAAGTGTCCCGCAGCTATTTTCTCATGCCAGCTACTTTTCCAGCCACTTTTTGGTACGTGACTTTTCATGGCCAACAATACCTGCTTCTCCAGTCAAAGCATCAGAGCCTTCCACAAGACATGGCCCTTTGATGCCTGATACTGTTTGCAGATAACAAACAGCCTCAGCTCGAGTGCGAAACCACAAGTCCTTGGTCATCTTGCAATGCCTGGCACCGCATGCAGGGTACCAGACAACCTTGGCTCGCATGCAAGACCATAGGTCCTTGGCCATTTGCCTGGAGAAATGGTTCCTTCAGCCGGTCAACAAGCCACGTCCTGCTAATTGTGGGAACAAGCAATGGGCTCCCGTTCTGCTGACTTTGGGTCTCAGCCAATCTGACCCAGGGATGGCTCGCTTCAGCTCACTTCATACCTGTGCTACAAGAGATACGTAAGGAACTTCTTCATGCAGAAGGTAGATGATACAAGGGAAAAATTGGATCTATACCAACAAAGTAAACACTACAAAAATCTTTAAAATAAAGGTTAGATATTTTTTTCCTTGCATTAAGTCACTGTCTTTAGCAAAAATAGTACCAATGAACTGTGCGTTTAAAACAAGCACATTTAAGAGCAAAATAATAACAAAATAACACAAAAATGAGAAGAATTTAAACTATGCTGATGTAAGCCTCTTATAATTGGTATTATTTGAAGGTATAATGTGATTAGTCAAAGATGTATTAACATATCACATATGAAGGACAACCACTAAAGATTTTGAAAAAAAGATATGAATAAGGAACCAATATTGGAGATAAAATAGAATCATAAAAAATAATCCTAAAGCAAACAAACAGCATAAAAGGAAAAAAAAACCTAAGAAGAAATTTAAAAAGCATCAGTAAAATGACAGATTTTAATCTAATCATGTCAATAGTTACATTAAATGAAAATGATTTAAACACACCAATTTAAAGAGATTGTCAGATCAGATCAAAGAAAAACCAAGACCCCACTAAACACTGTATCATGGGGAGTCTGTCTCCACTTTTTGATGTTTGCTGATACTTCTTAAGCCTCACCCCTCTTTTATCCCCTCTTGCCCCACATCTGGAAAGCCGATTTAAAAAAGTGCTTCCTCCCCTTGTGCCAGCAGAAGGTTCAACCCATGAGAAAGTTTACCAGGGCCCCAGTGCAGAACCCTCACACCACAGCTGCTCATCCTGTCTGAGGCAGCCTCGCAGAGATCCCACCCAGAGCCTCAGTGAGGTGGAAAAACAGTGTATTTTTTCCTTTGGTTCAGAGAGAAGGGGTGGCACTATACAGCAGAGACCAGCAAGCTACAGCCCTCAGGCCAAATGTAACTAGAGGCTTTCCTGTGAGACTGTGGGCTTTTTGAGGTCAGGACCAAGGTTAGATTCACATTTGTGGTTCCCCAACAGGCGCTTGGCAGTGGGACTGTATGGATCGACTGAGAGATGACCAGCCAGATGGATCTTTACACTTAGAAGTGGACATCAGCCTTTGATCATCTGTTGACTGTACTTTAAACTCTATAACGATAATCATAATAGTAATTAAATGTTATTGAACATCTATTATGTTTTCATTTTAAAATACTTTCCATATTACATCAAGTAATCTTCACAGAAACCCTAGGAGGTGAGTACTTGTTATCAACCCCATGAAAGTCAACACAAGATCCAAGAAACCTCAGCTAGTAAGAGCCCAGGGATCAATAAAGGTGTAAAGCCTTATGGAAAACTTCCCCCCACATTAAACTAGAAGATCTACATCCTCAGATATTAACCAAAACAAAACCCCTTTCCCACGCCTACCCTCAGGGTATTACAGACAGGGTTGCCTTGGTACTGAGTTGAATAAAAGAAAAAGAGGGGAAAAACCAGTCTTCACTTTGATTTTCAGCCTGGGGAGGAGTGGGGATTTATGAGAAGGGGGTTGGGATTCCAAAGAACATCAAGCTTTGGATTTGGCTTAAGGCACCAGGCTG